TACCGGTTTATCACGCCACAGTTATCATAAGAAGGTAGACAAATCATTTTGCTCCTCCCTAGGCCTGAACTTGGCCCTCAGGCTTCTAGGGATATTAGGAAGTGCTCGGTGGTCCTCTCTAGCCTGCGAAGCGTGAGGTCTCAGTTCAAGTGATAAGAGTTTCCCTCAAATCTCAGCATGCTTCTGATAATTTGTTACAGCGTACTGCGGTGAGAAACAGCAGTAATCATAAAAAAATAATTGTAAGTCTAATTTTTCTCTTACTCAAACGCCGTCCCATATGGCCGTCCCGCATCTATGTGTTCAGAACGCATAGTAACAGGATCTCGCAGGCCGCAACTTCTTTTCCAATCTAAATCGGAGAACAACAAGACCTTCCAGTAGTTTCTCGAGTAAAGTCCCGGTTTTGAATCCTCTGTGTGCCCAATTCGCTGCGTTTTCCTGACGGTTTTCTTTCGATTGACAAGTATTCTCCTCATCCTCATCTTTGGATGTACCATCTGGGTCCTTTTTCCCGTATTTCTTTTCTATGAGAAAATTCAAATATTCAAATAATGGCAAATCAATACGAACAAGCCTTTCCATGTGCTGCTTGACCTCGATGCACTGTGGGCAGCGTTCATACTTAACTTAGCGTTCATACATCTCATCGCATTGATCGATATGTATCAAAATTATTGCCGTCTAGGATTGCTCGCTTTAACACGTTAATCGACTTTTCTAGTAATCAGCTCTTTAGGTTTACGTAAAAGCTTTGGTGGGTGCAATACCACTTCAAGCCATTAGTCCAATTTGATATTTGTCGTTTGCCGTAGTGTTAGCGCTGCTGTCGGACGGATTGGGGCCTGCTAGCGGTCGCTTATCAGTAATTGTTATCGCTTCAATCACACCTATACTAGTCATCAAAAGGTGGGGCAGTCGAGAATGTCTAAGCCGAAAAATCAACACTACCCGCCCTACCCTGGTTGTGTGTGTGTGAGACGCTGTTGCTTGCGATGCACGACGCGACCGTCGAGAATATGAAACTAAACAACACACAGGGACACATACACACATCCAGCCATTCCCTAGTATTGATTTAACGATCAATACCTTATCGATTTCTGATCATTTACCGTCATTTTGTAGGTTTTCTACAGCTCAAACAGCTCTCTAGTTACCCCCTTTCTTGGTCATTATCAACTTTTTTCTGATCAGATCATTATCAGACGAGTCCTGCCGTCTAAGACGTTCCGTCAGATGACTACCAATTCTACACGAAACTCCTACGGCTGTACTAAAGGTACTGTCATTTAATGGAGGAATCTTTTGATTTTCCTACGCTTCTCTCAGTCTTCTCTCTTTCTTATCACTTGCCGATGCTTATCGATCGATGGTAGCTGATTGGAAGAACACCCGGATTCCCCCCTGGTGGCCGATTTGTCAGTACACCGCTTTTCTACTGGTCATGCTCACGGTTGTTCAGCTTCATCAAGGTGTGTATTTCTGAGAGGCGGCGGGGGATTCACGTCACGAGTCTCCGTGTCGTGCATTACGATGATTAGTTTCTAACAGTCGGCAAATCCCCATGTATCCGTGAGCTTATCCAGCCCATCCTTCTGATTTCCACTTTCATTTCTACGACTGCTGCGACTTCACCATCCAGCTTCTGATTTTCCGAAATTCAACTCAGCTCAGCCACTTACCGACAATGTCTTCTTCAGGAGGTAGTGGGAGTCACAGTCACTCGAATAATTTCAATCTGGTGAGTACTATTTATGATTGGGTCTTACGATTCGTATCAGGGCCAAATGGCTAGGCTAAAAGCCACAGAGCCATCCATTGCAATAAATAACTGGAAATCAGGGTCAAGAAGGATGAAGCTGGTAACTGTCGCTAATACAATCCCGGATGTAAGGCTGACGCACTGCTGATCCTAAGAGGATTCACAAACTTTTATAGATTCTTTGTTCATTCCAGATCGCAGAGGTCCAAGCTGCCACAAAGTCTTCTCTTAGGCATCGGGGTCTTATATTGTCACTCCCTGGTCGCTAGCCGGCCACTTCTTGTCCGTTTGCTTGGTCATGTACAGAGCTGATTATCTTGGCGAATTCGCTTCATGCTTACTCCTTGGGCTGGTGGACCCGAAATTCAGAATCGGTTCACAATTGGCGCTGCTTACTCGGCGCTTAGGCAAATTTCAGCCAAAAGTGGCTAGAACACTGAGAATCAAGTCCCGAGAAGAGCCCGAGACCTTCAAGAAACACCAAAACCGTCCATTCATCGCCCTGTTCAATACTAACATTTAAACTCACTCATCGGACCAAATCGTCCTCAACTGGACTGATATTTTTGAAGAATTTGGTTACCAAAACAAGGTAAAAGTTGAATTTGAAGGAGTCAAGACACCTCCCAGTCTCATCGGGAACAGCCTGTTTACTTTACTAAGCGTCTGTCAACACTGGGCGAACTAGGTTTATCAGGATTATTTACGGATTTGTAGACGGCAACATTTGTACAGTGGCAAAGCGATAGCGCTAAATAGTCTTTGGGGGTGCATGCACTATTTCTAGGACCTTGTTTCTCTTTTCGGATGCTCAGAGAGGGGACTAGGATTCCCTAAAAGTAGCAGAACAAGCCTTGCCTGGAGTTTCTTGTTTCAATCCAGCACCACCCTGTCCTTGTTGTCATCGTCGGCAGCACTAGCTGTTTTTCAACATTCCACTTTTTTCCTCTACCGTATTCGTAGCGTTTCACTAGTCTCCTCTTCTTCTTCTCGCTTTCATTGTCAGACTGACTGTTTGTGTGAGTGGGAGCGTGTGGCCTTCTATCAGTGAAGCGTGTCCCCACTACCGTAATCCGTGCACACCCCACCAAACAACCAGCTTCGTAGCTCAAACAATGAGCGCAGCGCGCTGCCGTGTGCACAGCTCCCATTGGCCAGCCTGTCGAAGGCGGGGCCAGCGAGACGAGAGAGCGTCAGCGGCTGTACGGCGACGCGGAGACAGCGCCGCAGAGGGGCGTGTCGTGATGCGGATTGCGTAGCAAAATCGCATTGACGTTGGCTCAGCCGCCGGCTCGCCGCTCTCCAGCTCGTGGTTTATCGTAATCTGAGGATGATGTGATAGGCTTATCGGGTCGAGACCGCCGCCGCCGTCGTCGCCGCCCCAACAGTCGCTGAGGCGATGCTTGGCGATTTGTTGTCGCCTGATTTCAGGCGACATCTTGAAATGTCATCGGCTAAGCAGCGACTATGGCGGTCATGCGGCTCTCGACCAGGTAAGCCTCGGCTAAGCTCGTTTCTTCCACTAAGCTGATCTTCTCACGGTTTTACTTAACTTTCTTACTTTGACTGCGACGTTGACTGAATATCCGATAAATCTCTGTGCTTATCGCATTGCTACCTACGTATTCCATTCCGCATTTTATTTCCTTAATTTTCTATAGGCAAAATTGGACACGTTGCATCAGATGATACCAACGTCAACGATGAACAACGGAAACTTTGTAAGTAATCAACGGTCCGAATTTTCAACTTTTCCTCGAATTCTCAAAGTAACTCCTAGAACTCTCGGTGCAACTTACCATTCGCGCTCCTCCTAGCCTTCTACGCTTTTCTGACCGGGGTTCTCTCGTTATCATTAGCAGAGCTCATACTTTTCATGCCAAGAGCAACCCGGGACGATTGGCAGTACCGGCGGGTACTGTTGGTAGTTCCTGATTGCCTGGTACCCATTGGCATAAACGTATCATTCTATTGGGGGCAGTCAGATGTTACTCATTCAGAAGAATCTGGAAAACTGGGCTCTGGGAATTGGGTTTGATCATGATTCAGTGGTCCGCCCTTGGGCATTATTTGAAAGGTTCCGCCTAAACCCATTTTAGGACGAAGAATGCTTGAAAAAACTACTCATTTACCGTGTCATATCCGAAGACTTATTTTACTTGACCAATAAATGAGTTCCAAGATTGCAAATTTTAAAGGCTTGTGCCGCGTGTATGTTTTGCTTCCGGAAACCGCTACCCACGGGTGATTGACAGTTCGTTCCTCCTTGTATTGTCGAACCTTCGTGGAGTTTTGTGGGATGACGGGCCGTTTTGCTAGACTTGCTAATGTTTCGGGATGGGGGGGGACACTAAGTGAGAATTCCGAATATTGACAGCGGCACTCTTTTTACCCTGTTTATCCGTTCCGACTCTCTAATCTGTGCCCGCAAGCGGAAAGTTTTGAACGACTGTTCCCTTTGTTGAACTTGACGAGCTTCACGACAAGCGACTAGAATTCTAGCTTAGACAAGAAGACGATATCAAAACTTTTTATAACCAAACTTGAGATTTTTGTGTTGACACTCCATTTTCGAATGATTTTTGTGGGCAGATTCGCTAGCGAACGTTGTCTGAACTTTCGTGTAGTTTGAGTGGTAATTACTGTAAGGTCGAACTGATTGAATGCCTGAGTTGATGTATATCCGTGGCAGAAAACCTGGGGTCTAATAAGGACAGGTCGTGGCGATGGGGACGATCTCTTCCAGTTCTGCGTTGAGGAGATCGTCTGCTCACTGTAAGCCATGGCTGTGGTTCTGTCTCCGTGAACTACGCACTGAACCTCCTACTGCAATAGCCTACATCCTTCGTGGGCGATTCTTCCCACGTCGCGGGCCCCTCCCAAGCTTTCATACGTTAGTGGACGATTCCTGTAAAACGTTACCAGTTTCGGTAAGCAATTTGTTATCACCGCAGGGGTTGAAAGTTCACATGACCCACTGATTGTCAGCTGCATTTCGTGTGGTGTTTTGAATATAATTTCTTATACGATTTCATAGATAACAGCGCTGTCGTCACAGCGATAATCACCTTCTAAGGAGGAGACACGGTGAGAGGATTTGAGGATGATCTGGCCTAGAAAAACGCTCCATCAGTTCTCGAATGTGTAGTTCCCGGTCTAATGTGCAAGGTTACGTGCAACAGTTAACAGTTGACACTCCTCAAGGTGCCAGGTACCAGCGGGGAAAACTGTCAAAATAATTACGTAACCCGCGGGTAATCTTGGTATCACTGGGGATGCCATTGGAACAGGGTCTCCCAGAGAACAACCTGAATGGCCATGAAAACATGCCCGTGGTCATCAGAAAAATTCCACGCGGTTACTGTAGATTGTCACTAAATTTGTGTGCATTTTCAGTCGATGCCGTACATTCCGTCGGTGTCGTCCGCAGCTGCGGCCAATATGTCATCAGTCGCAAATATGACGGCTGCATACTTCAACTCAAAAAGTGCTGCCTATGGAGCACCACATCTCGGCTTTCCGACGGCTCCTACACACAACTTCCTTCCCACTGGCATGGGTTACATTGGAGGAAGCTTGGCTGAATGCCAACCAGCAGGTCTCGCCTGGAACGCAGGAGGACCACCAAGGTGAGCGCTGCTTTATTTTCAAAACAGACTCAGCTAGCGGGAGCATATTACCCATAACGAAGGGCTAAGAAGATACTAGTCATCCACATCACCTTGTTCTTCTACTGGTATACGCCACGAGTTTTACAATCCACAAAATCCTACTATACCCACCTGGTTCCCACGTGTCCTGCTCAGTAACTTTGGCCCCATTTCCACTGCTTTGACCCTTTGTTATCAAGGGTCGGTCCTACCGGATGTTTGTGTCATTATTACCGATAGTAACCATAGTGACACCAAACCAGGTAATATAACATGCTAGAAGTCAAGCACAATCCATAGAATTGATAGGAACCATCTTAAGGAGGGAAAACTCGATTGGGGTTACTTAAGCGCTACGGGGCGTTTAGCATAGACAATGTAAACGCTAACTACCTTGATAGGGAGGGTGCTTGAAAAGAGTCTCTCATAACCTTGAGTGCTTGTTGTGCAAAACTGGGATTATCGTTTGAAGGATGGGATCACTGTGCACTAGACTGGTTCAGCTTCTCGAGAGCTCCTTCCCCTCGAAGGCCAGAGCTCCTTCCCTTCGAAGGAAAAATTTTCCGGTTCTGTTGTGATTCACAGTTTTGCACAGAAATCTTACTCTGGGAGATCGGAAGAG